TTTTTTGATTTATTGTAGAGATGAGGTCTCGCCTGCCCAGGCGGGTCTCGAACCCGCGGGCTCAGGCAATCCACTCACCTCAGCCTCCCAAAGGCGTGGGATTACAGGCTGAGCCACCGAGCCCGGCTTTTATTTTTATTTTTATTTTTTGAGTTGGAATCTCACTCCGTCACCCAGGCTGGAGTGCCATGGCACACTCACAGCCACTCCAGCATTGACCTGCTGGGCTCCAGCGATCCTTCTGCTTCAACCTTCCAAGTAGCTGGAACTATAGGCGCATGGTATCGCACGCAGCTAATTTTTTGATTTATTGTAGAGATGAGGTCTCGCCAAGTTGCCCAGGCTGGTCTCGAACCCGCGGTCTTAGGCAATCCTCTCGCCTCAGCCTCCCAAAGTGTTGAGATTACAGGTTGAACCACCGAGCCCAGCCTGCTGCCTGTTTTGTAAATAGAGTTTGGTTGGAACTCGCCCACCTGTTTATGGATCTTAGATGGCTGCCTTAGAGTTACATGGTGGAGTTGAGTGGTTGTGACAGAGACCATATGATCCAAAACGTAGAAGTACTGGCCCTTCACAGGACATGCTTTCTGATTCCTGGCCTACCATTTTGAGTTCTGTGCAAGTCCTCTCCATCCTTCACACAACTGTGTTTCTGAGGGAAAGTCGGCCTTTGGTCATCCCTCCTGGCCTCCCTCTGCCCTCCTGAGCAGCAGGCCGCGGGTCTGAGCAGCCTGGCACAGCCTCGCACTCCTTCCCTGGGAGCTGGCCCTCATGTGCTACCACGTCAGCTCAATTGCTTCTCTCCTTTCTCTTTGCTCTCTCTAGCCTTCCCAGTAGACCTTTCCCTCTTTGGCACATTTGGAAACTGCAGTTGATAAATGACTGTGGACTAGTGAGCATTTTTTGTTTTAAGAGAACACCCAAGGTAAATATCTTCCCCTTCCCTTTCTCTTTGCTTTCCATTCCCAGCCCTTTACTGCGGGAAGAGAGTGCAGGCAGCTCCCAGTCTGGGAGGCATTTCTCCACGGGGGGGCGTGGGCACGACCTTGGATCTTTCTGGAAGACAGGAGAGATCATGAAACACCTCAGCCATGGAAAATAAAACTTCCTTCCAGCACAGGGCGCTCTATTATCCTGGGCAGGTTCCTCTTGCCCAGTATAATGGCCTGAGCCCTCAAGGTCAGACATTCACAGCCCCTGTTTTCCCATCTCTCTGGGATGGCATCTGCCCTCAGTGGTCTTCTCTTGTGACTGCTTCCTGACTGACACTCCCAGCTCTGCCTTGGCACCTCCTCAGGCATCCCGAGGCCACTCTGCCCTTCCTGCCTCACACTGCCCTTCCTGCCTCAGACTGAGCGTTTGGTGTGGCTAGGACCTGCTCCCTCTCTTAGCTTTGATGTTAATTCTCCTTCCCTCTCTCCCCTAGGGTCCAACCACAGCAGGCCTGGCATCCCCGTGGAGGAGAGCCCCGGGCGGAACCCAGGAGTTTAACTGTTTGCCAGGCAGCCCCAGACATGGGGAATGGACAAGCATGCGGGGCACTGAGTGAGCTGAGCAGAAGCTTTGTGCCAGCTGCCCCACCCCTTCCAGGCCACGTTTTAGATGGCCCTTGTAGCGGTGGGTCCTGGGCGGCCTCAGAACCAGACATCAGTGCCAGGAGCCTTCGGACCCTGCCCCCCTTTAGGAGGTGGGGTCAGCAGGGCACAGTTCCTCCAAGGAACGAAAGGAATGTCGTCATCTCTGGTCCCCAGGGCCCAGCCTTTTTCCTTCTCCGCTGGGACTGTGACAGTGTGGTGTATTTATACCTCTCCAGGCCAAGCCACCATTGTGAGTGCACAATTCCTGCCTTTGTGTGGCCATGACCTGTACTCTCTTCGCTTTTAATTTGCCAACCTTCTGCTGCTGGCAGCACTTCTCGAGCAAACGGAGAGCTCCGGTTTTGGCTAGAGGTTCCAGTCCACAGCCTCGCCATGGTGTGCTATCTGGCTACCCTTACAGCGCCATGTCTCAGAGCCCTTGCCCCAGCCTTTCCCAGTGCCAAGCCAGAAGCACGGTTACCTACACCCTGATCCTTCCAGTAGGCCCTGCTCCCTCCTGTGGAGGGTGCTTTCCTGACCCTCTCCAGGGCCGTGAGTGAGTGAGCGAATGGATTGGCCCAGTGGTGCAGAGGGGGCCTCTTTTGCTTCTCCTTGGCCTGCCATGCTGAGTTGCCACTAGAACTGTTGCCAGTTTCCGTGTTCCAGTGGGAATCACACCTGGAAGGAAGGGTTCTTTGTGCTGTATCAAGTCCTTTCTTCACTGTGTGATCCCAGGAGGAGTGGCCACCTACTGTGTGTTTCATGCCTTCCTAGGCCTCATGGAGGTGTCACATGACTGTGACATCAGAAAGCAAGTGCGGGAGGGAAGGGGTGTTGATGAACCAGGGCGATCCTCCGTAGCTTCCTTCAAGAACAAAAAGAAGTCAGTTTTTCTTGTATCTCTAAAACATTTCAAGTCTTTTGCTTTTTTTCTGTTCCTAGCAAAGGAGTTTCACAGAAGGGGGAACAAGAAAGCATTTGCTTTTTCTTCTAATTTACCTATATTTTCCTTCCAGAGTATCTCCAGCTATGTGAAAACGGGCATCATGGGACATAGGGTCATATGTTGGGTAGGGAGACCGGAGGATTTCTGGAACTTTTTGGAATTTGGGCCCTTATAAATGGGACTGAATACCAAAAGAATGTGGTAAGCTTGCTTAGAAGTTGTTCTCAAGGAATATGCTCTGAGAGCAGATGTTGGTGGTAAACATATTTTAAAATCTCTCTTTCCAGAACAGTGATTCTTAACATTAGCTGCACATTGAATCACCTAGCAATATAGAATACTGGGCCCACTCCCTGGGCTTGTGATTTAATCATTCTGGACATCAGGGTTTTATTTTTGAAATATTTTTAGATTCGCAGAAGAGATTCATATACCCTTCATTCAGCTTCCCATAACATTAACGTCCTGTATATCCTTGGTGCATTTATCTAAATTTAAAAGTTAACATTGGTGCAACAATACTATTAACTTTGTTTGGGTTTTGCCATTTTTTCCAGTAATATCCCTTTTCTGTTGTGGGATCCAACCCAGGATACCATGTTGTACTTAGAGCAATGGCTTTCTTTTTTTCCTAACTTTCTATTTTGAAGTATTTACAGATTTATAGGAAGTTGCAAAAATAGAGACCCCGTGCACCCTTTGTCCAGTTTCCCTCAATAGTTGTATCTCACATAATTATAATACAGTGTCAGAACTAAGACTTTGACACCAGTGCAATGTGGGGGCATAGTTCTGCATCATTTGATCATGGATACGTTTGTGTAGCCACCACCGCAATCAAGATGCAGGCTGTCCTGCCACCACCAGGATCTCCCTCAGACTACCCTTTAGAGTCACACCTGCCCTTTCCCCAGCCCCTGGCAACTACTCATCTGTTCGTCTCTTATTTTGTCATTTCAAAAATGTATAAATGAAATTATATAGTATGTAATCATTTGGGATTGGCATTTCCACTCAGTGTAATTCTCTGGAAGTTCATCCAGCAATCACAGTATTGCTGAGGAGTAGTCCATGATACTCACTGTCCTGTTGGAAGGACGTTTGGGTTGTGTCCAAGGTTTGGCTGTTTCAAATAAAGCTGCTCTGAACATTCATGTACAGGTTTCTGTGTAAACATTAGTTATTTTTGGAATAAATGCCAGGAGTACAATTGCATATGGTCATTGCATGTTTGCTTTTTTTTTTTTGAGTCAGGATCTCTGTCAACTAGGCTGGAGTGCAGAGGTACGATCATGGTTCACTGCAGCCTCAACCTTCTGGGCATAGGCAATCTTTCCCTCTCAGCCTCCCAAGTAGCTGGAAGGACAGTCGGGCAGGACCACCTCCAGCTAATTCTTTTGATTTTTTTGGTAGAGATGAGGTTTCGCTATGTTGTCCCGGGTGGTCTCAAATTCCTGGGCTCAAGCAATCCTGCCTCAGCCACCCAAAATGCTGAGATTTGCCAGCAACCCATATTTCGGTTTTTAAAGAAAACTCCAAACTTTTCCAGGGTGGCTGTACAATTTTGCGTTCTCACCAGCAATATAGGCTGATCTGGCATCTCTGAATCCTTGCCAGCATTTGGTGGTGCCACTGTTTTTCACTTGAGCCATTCTGATAGGTGTATAGTGACACCTGATGGTGGTTTTCATTTGCATGTCCCTGATGGCCAGTGATGTCCCTTTCTTGTGTTTTCAGTGCAGTGTCTGTCCACATCTCTCACCCATTTTCTGATTGGATTGCTTTCTTACTGTTGTGCTTTGAGAGCTCTTTATTTTATTTGAGAGTCCTATGTTTGGTTTTTGACTTGCAAATGTTTTCTCCCAGTTTGTAGCATGTATTTTCACCCTCAACATGGTCTTACCAACAGGTTTTCAGTTTTGATGAAGGCTGCTGTGCCTCTACTTTACCAGTGTTTCTTTTATAGTCTGTGCTTTTAGTGTCACATTTAAGAACTCTCCCTGGTCTTAGACCCCAAAAGTTGTTTTGTCTTTCCAGTTTGAGCTAATTTTTTTGTATACTGTATAAGATGTAGGTAAAGGTAATCACTGTTTGTTTTTTGTTTTTAGCCAATGTATGTCCAGTTGCTCTCTTTCCTCCACTGAATTGCTTTTGCTCTTTTGTCCAGTCATTCGGGCATATTTGTTTTGTTTTTTTTCTTGTTGAGTTGGAGTCTCACTCTGTCGCCCAGACTGGAGTGCAGTGGCCGCTCCCGGCCACCGCAGCCTCGACCTGCTGGGCTCCGGGGATCCTTCCGCCTCAGCCTTCCAGGTAGCTGGAATTACAGGCATGCGCTACCACGCCCGGCTGATTTTTTGATTTATTGTAGAGATGAGGTCTCGCTGCCCAGGCGGGTCTCGAACCCGCGGGCTCAGGCAATCCACTCACCTCAGCCTCCCAAAGGCGCGGGCTTACAGGCTGAGCCACTGAGCCCAGCTTAGTCGGGCATATTTGTATGGCCCTATTTCTGAGCTGTTGTCTTTGTTCCACTGATATATGTGTCCCTCTGCCAGTACCACACTCTCTTGGTTAATGCAACTATACAATAAGTTTCAGATCAGGTAGACTTGATTCCTCCTCTCATTTTGTTCTTTTTCAAAATGGGTTTAGCTATATGTTTTCATATAAATTGTAGAATAACCTTTTTTGCAGCTATAAAAAATCCTGGTGAGATTTTGACAGGAACTGTGTTAAGCCTATATACCTGGGAAGAATTGACATCTTTACTGTGCTGCATCTAATGATCCATGAACATATGTCTCTCTGTTTACCTAAATCTTTGACTACATTCATCAGTGTTCTGTAATTTTCATACGTCATCACGTTTTGTTAGATTTAAACCTATTTCATTTTTTAAAGTGACTGTAAACAGTACATATTTTGAATTTTTGGTCTACATGGCCATTGCTAGTAGGTTAAAAATACATTTTTGTATGCTTATCTTGTAACCTAAGGTCTTGCCAGACTCCCTTTTTCTGGGTGGGTGTCTTTGTTTTGTTGTAGATTCCTGGAATTTCCTACCTAGATAAGCTTGTCCTCTGCATGATAGTGCAAGTACCAGGGTGCTGTCCTCAGGGTTTCTGACTTAGTTGGTCTAGGCATTTGGGTTTTTGGTGTGTGTGTGTGTGTGTTTTTTTCTGAATAAGAGACTCTGTCGCCCAGGCAGGAGTGCAATGGCACACTCATGGTCACCGCAGCCTCAACCTGCTGGGCTCAGGCACTCCTTTCACCTCAGCCTTCCAAGTAGCTGAAACCACAGGTCTGTGCTACCATGTGCAGCTAATTTTTTAAAATTCATTGTAGAGACAAGGTCTTGCCATGTTGTCCAGGCTGGTCTCAAACCCCTGGACTCAGGCAACCTTGTTTCTGCCTCCCAAAGTGCTGGGATTACAGGCATGAGCCACTGCACCTGGCCATTAGGCTTTTAAATCCTTCCCTAGTGATTCTGATAAGCAGTTGAGACAGAACCTCTGCTTCTTGAACTTGTCTGTGAATCAGCAGAGGCCTTGCCTAGTGCTAGGACCCCACATACCACCCACTGCACTTGGTGGCCTATCTTGTCGAGCCTGCGTGGTTGAGAGGCTTGAGCTTGCTGCTGAGGAAGAAAGACAGTGAGACCGTGATGGATAGTCATCCGATTTTAATCCGTATCAAAAGGTGTTTTGTCTGTCACGTAAGTGTCCTCATTCTCTAAACGAGGAGTTGTCTTCTCCATGGTCTTGAATGCCTGTTTCACCCAGGGCCCCCGCCTCTGGGTGCACACTGGCTCTGTCACACAGGCAGGAGCTGCCCGTGAAAGGGATGTGGCCCCTGGTGTGGAGCACTTGTCTGCTTTTTCACATAGTCACAACAGCCTTGTTCCTGGCCTGAGAAGGCCCCCAAAGTTAGACTAAACCGTTGCAAAGTGAGATCAGCCAGGAACCTCACGCAACCCAGGGCCCTTGTGAGGGAAGCTACCTTCCTCTTGAGGGCTTCCCTGGGCCTGTGGTTCTCATTTAGGGCAGAGCTCTCTCACACTCACATCCTGGCATCTAAGGGCCTGCCCTGCCAGTAGTAGTAGCACAGGTCTACAGCAGTGAAACTTGAAGCAAGGAACGAGGAAAGAGGAGGGAGGCTTCGGGCCCCTGTCTAGTTGAGTCCTCATTGTGCCACCAGTTAGCGGACGAGGGACAGGAGAAGGGGTGGGGCGGGGCGGGACAGGAGGAGGCTTGCTCCGTGCCCTCCCCATGGGTGAGTTCACAACTCTTCGGTGGCCTGCCTCGGAGGTGGGATCACGTCAGCTGGGTGCAGCTGCAGGTTCCAGGCAAGCGCTGAAGCTCCAGCGCCAGGGGACGTTCACGCCTCAGGCGAGCTAGGGTTGCGGGCCGCCGCCCCAAGAGTTGAGTGGGCCACAAGCAGTCCCCAGCACCTGGGCACTTCATCCCTGCAGGGAGAGCCACCAGCCAGCCAACAGCAGCGCAGTGGGCAGACCTGACTGAAGCCACCTAACAGTGGGCACAAGGGTTCCCGCACGAAGTATCAGCTCCAGCTCATCAGCCTTAGGGCTTCTGGGGCAACCCGGTGAGTGCTGGGCTTCTGTTGTGGGGCCTCAATCCTGTTGAGCAGCCCCCTCCAGGTGGCCAGAACCCACCGCCAGAGTCCTTAAGACCAACGCTGTGTCCAGAGCCACTCCAGATGCCGTCAGGACTGCCTCTGACAAGAATGGAGTCTCCAGGGAAACCCCTGTGAGGGCATCAGCCAGCCGTAGAAATGCTGCGCACTGTGGCTTGCTGTGCTTGTCTTTTGTCTGTCCTGGATGGCAGCCATTGGCCACAGGCTGGATCGCCACCCGCAGGAGACTGGCCCTCATGGAGAGTGAAGTCTCCCTAGGGGAAGGACGGGGGACACCAAGGAAGTACAGCGCCCGGCCCAGGGTGGCTCGGGCTTGGGACCGCTCCCTTTCTGCTCCGTCCACTCCCCCGGCTCCCACCACTCCCCCAGCCCTCGTCTGGACCCACTTGCTTTCTGCTCCCTGTAGTCCTCTGCTTCAGCCCTCCCAGCACCGGTCCTCGCAGGGAATGCGGCCCTCTTGGCCTTGCAGCCAGGAGGCCTGCGCTCTCTCTCCCTGGTGGGCTCGGTGCTGCTCCTCAGTGCTCACGGGGTTGCCTCGGGGGACACAGGAAGCAAAGCCCTGAGAGAAATCTGAGCATGGCTAGGGCCACAGAGGGCATGCGGACACGTGGGAGGTGAATGGGATGGAGTGGTGGCCGAGTGACCCGCAGGCGCTGTGGTCAGCACCGGGTGCGGGGATGCGCCACGTGGGCCTGCAGGGCTTCCCGGATGCCACGCTGCCAGTCTCGTGCCAGCTGCACTGGGGTCATGGAGGCCTGGGAACAGGAGGCCGGTCAGTTCTTCCCTCCTTCCCCGGAGCCCCACCCGCCCAGGGCTGGGGCGCATGCCCGGCCCTGCTGCTCACTCACCGTGTTCTGCACTCCCAGCTTGGCCCCGTAGAGCAGCAGCAGCTTCATGGCTTTGTAGTGGCCGTGCCGCACAGCCTCGTGGAGGGCTGTGTCCCCTTCCTGTTGAGAGGGGACATCACGCTTCTGCCCTTGCCACACAGGAATGTCAGGGCTGCTGTCGCTGAGCAGACAGCACCTCGGTCCTGGCTTAGACTCCTCTGTCATGGTGCCCCAGGGGAGAGACCCCAGGGGAGAGACTGAGCGCCTACCTTATCCTGTGCATTGATGTTGGCACCACACTCGATGAGGTGCTCCAGGCAGTCAGAGTGCCCGGTACGCACAGCCACGTGCAGGGGGGTGCTCCAGATCTGAGAGAAGTGGGGACCAGTGTCAGGCCTGGAGTAAACATCTTCTTGAACAGCACCCACTCCTGTGTCCTGCTCCCTGCATCTCCTTTTTTTTTTTGAGTTGGAGCCTCACTCTGTCACCCAGACTGCAGTGCAGTGGCCACTCCCGGCCACCTCAGCCTCGACTTGCTGGGGCTCCAGCGATCCTTCGGCCTCAGCCTTCCAAGTAGCTGGAACTACAGGCGCGCGCTACCACGCCCGGCTGATTTTTTTTATTTATTGTAGAGATGAGGTCTCGCCAGGTCGCCCAGGCAGGACTCAAACCTGCGGGCTCAGGCCATCCACTCACCTCAGCCTCCCAAGGCGCAGGATTACAGGCTGAACCACTGAGTCCGGCTCCCTGCATCTCCTAACAGGCCACCTGAAGCGGTGTACCCCTCACCTTGTCCCGGGCATTGACCCGGGCTCCCTGATTAAGCAGTTGTTTGAGGATGTCCAGGTGTCCTCCACGGCAGGCCCAGAACGTGGGTGTCCTATCCAACTGCAAAACGAAAGCACCAAAGCACTCTGACCTGCTGGGATGCCAGGCGGGCGCTGGCCGTGAGGACGGGCCTCCCCTGGTTCTCACCAAGTCCCGAGCGTCCACAGTGGCGCCCGCCGTCAGCAGCTTGTTCACCAGCTGGCTGTGACCCTTCAGGCAGGCCCAGTGCAAGGCCGTGCGGTGGAGCTGGGGGTGGAGTCGGGAGGTTAGGCAGAGTGAGCGCAGCCACCCCCAGAGCCCCTGCCAGAACAGAGCTGCTCATTCCCCAACGAGGGAAGAGCCTCTCCCTCCCCTCCTGGAGGCAGCCCTGGGCCCATGCCTTTGGGACTGAATATCCCACAACTTCCTAGCCAGCTGTGTCTGTTGCCAGCTGATTCATCCCACCTGCGCTACCTTGTCATGGGCATTGGGGTCCCCTCCGTCTGTCAGGAACTTGTCGATCAGGGCATCCTGGTTCTCAGCAGCTGCCTTCAGGAACATCTCCAGGTCCACAGTCTCCACCTGGGCCTGGGGCTACAGCTGGGTAAGTTGAAGGACAGGGCCAAATCACCCCCCAAGACCGCAGGTCCCCGGGACAACACAGCTTCACATCTGGCCCAGTGGTTCCCAAGCAGCACCCTATTGGCTCGTACAAATAGTTTTGTTTTTTAATCCCATCCCCACAAGATCTGACTGAACAGGCATTAAGTACGTGTGTGGTGTGGGCTGACTTGAATCCCCCCAAGATTCGTGTGAAGTTCCATCCCCAGTAGCCCAAATCGTGACCTTATTTGGAAATAGAGTCATTGCATTGTAATTAGTTAAGATGAGGTCATGCCAGAGGAGGGTCGGCCCTTGTCCAGTATGGCTTGTGTTAAAGTGGGCCCTGTTCCAGTATGTCTGGTGTCCTTATAAAAAGGACATTTGGACACAGGCACATGCAGGCAGCATGCCATGTGAACACAAAGGTAGAGATGGGGTGATGCCGAAGCCAAGGAATGCCAAAGAATGCCAGCAAACTACCAGAAGCTGGAGAGAGACAGACTGTGCTCCTCACTCTGACTTCCAGCCCCTAGGACTGAGAGACAAGGCATGTCTGCTGTCCAAGCCACCCAGCCTGCAGTACTTTGCGACGGCGGCCCTGGCAGACTACTCTGGGGCTCTGGAATGGATCTCAGGTGGCTTGCCAGGCACTGGCTGTGCAGCTGTGGCCTACAGTGTCCATCCTTCCTCAAGTCCCCCAAAGGCAAGCCTTCCTCTGGAACTCGAGCCTTCGGTTTGTGTGTCCCCTCAGAGCTCTGACCTCACTCACCTTAACCACGGGCTCAGGTTTTTTGGGGGGGACTCTGCGTCTCAGTCGCTTTTCTTTCCGTCTTTGAACTAAGTTTTCCAAGTCAGCCATGTTCTCCAGATTAAGTCTGGAACTGTTAAACCTTTCCAGCTGAGGCAGAAAGGGGACAGAAGACCATGCCAGCCATCAGTCTCTGGTCATGGTAGTCTTGGGGGCAGGTTCTTGGTTAGTCTAGTCTCTGCCCCGCCCACATAAGAGACACCAGCTGCTTGGGCTGTTTGGCCCCTGGGCCAGAGCCTGCCCACGCTGGGCTACCCCCCCCCCCACCTGCCCCTGCATCACTCTCACTTTCTTCTTCTTCTCTTCTTCCAATTTCAGCTTCTCCTGGGCCACAGCCTCTTGGGATCCCATCCTCCAGTCACCAGGCCAGCCTCCGGGATCAGGAACTCCATATCCAGACCCCAACACTTTCCTTTCAACTCTTTCTCCACTTACCTGTAGGAACAGGACGTGGATAGAGTCAGGAAAATTGGAGGGACCCTTAGAAAAGCGGGTGGTGCAGTGCTGAGATTGCTGACAAGAGCTGGTAAACAGAGATGAGTGTTCAGGATTTGAGAGCCGACAGACCCTTCTTTCTCAAAGCTCTGTGGCAGTCTGGAGCGCTGGCGAGCACCCTGATCCCGTGGTGTCACTGGCTCTGCAACTGTGGCGTCGGCTGAGGCCCAGGGGGACAGCTGATCACTGCCTACCCTGCTCCTGTCAGCAGGAACTCAGAGTGGAGGGACATGAGACCACAGTCTATTTATACTGCTGGGCTTGTGCCCAGGTGGCCTCAGGGCAGATGACACCTTAGCTTCCCTCGTGGGCTGTTGTCCTTAAGATTCCTACAAGATCATGCCATCCTGCCACCTGACTCCAAGCGAAGAGGCACAGAGGAGACGCCCCCTGGGTATACTCTGAAATGCCTGGGTTCAGTTGTTAGCTCTTTTTGAAGCTACTGTTAGGCTGGAACTAGCACTTACCTAAAGGAGCCATGCAGGGTCTAAGACTTGTCAGGACTTGTGTGAGGGGCAGAGCCTACCCCAGCAAGGACCCCTTCTTCCTCCCCTAGACTCCACCCTGGAGTTCAGGAGCTGGGGAACACTGAGGAATAAGGATGGCGTGGCGCTTGCTGGGCAGTGCGACATCCTGGGCCACCCACCCTCCATGCCCCACCTCTCCAAAACTGACATTCGTAACTATCCGTTTCTCTCACTGCCAAGGGAACCCAAGAGTGCCCTTCACGCCTCCCTCACCAAGGCAGCCCCTCGACGTTTCCAGGATGATGACGATCGTGGTGCTTGAGCTAAACCAGCACCACAGCCACACTGTCACCTTCCACCACAGTCCAGGGCAAAGCTCTCTACACCCCAGGATGTCTGTGTCTTCTTTCCCATTCGACTTCCCTCTCTTGCCCTCTAGCCCACCCCCTTACCACCTCGCGTGAGAATCCAGTCAGCAGACCAGAAGAGAATTACATGCTTAGCTGGGTGAGGTGATGACGCTCGTAGTCCCAGCTATTTGGGAGTCTGAAGCAGGAAGACAGCTTGAGCCCAGGGGTTTCAGTCCAGTCTGGGCAGCATAGTGAAACCCCCGTCTCATACGTACACACATGCATACAAGAACCGCACGCTTCCTGGCTCCTAGAATTTGACCCTCAAACCACAGAAATAAGCTGCTAGCTCTCCTCTGGCCAGATGGCACCTTTCAGTGGCCCAGTCCCATGAGGCCCCATCCTTACCAACTGCTGAATGCTGAAGAAGTCCATGGTCCCCCCTGCTCCTCACACCCCCAGTGAGAGGAGCGGAGCTGCTCAGCCCTTTTATAGGAGCGTCTCCGGGAGGCAGGGGCGGACAGGGAAGGACAGAGGCTTGATCCTGGGCCAGATGACTGTGGGACTCTGTCACTCCAACCAAAATACCGATCTGGGAATGCAGCCCACTGGGAACAGGAAAAGGAGACACCCACTAGCCTGCAGCTCTGCCACACCCCACACCTACGCAGGGGGTCTTCAACCAACACACTCATGTCCTTGAGTGCCTGGGCCCTTAGCCTAGATTCAGGGGGTAACATTTTCCACTCTCCTAAGCTTAGACCCTACTTGTGAAAAAAGGCCAGCCAGAGCCCTCCATGTTGTAGGTCTTGCTGCCTGAGAAATCCAAAAGGCTCAGCCTGGCTGCCCTGGCACAAGCAGGCCGGAATCCTGAGGACCTTGGGAAAGATAGGAGAAGCTGCCCAGCTGCCATAGGAATCTTCACGGCACCTGCATGAGGAAGCCAGCTGTGTGTGATCATCCAGCTCGCTGGTTGCCGGGCAGCCTGTTTTGTGCTTGGTGGTTTCCTTTCCGGGGGGTCCCCTGCTTCTCCCTCACTTTGGTCAGGAGCCAAGCCTAGTCTGGCATCGGCCCTCATGTTTCTGGAAAAGGCTTCTACGTCCCCCATGAAAGTCCCTACCAGATTCTCCCGAGGCACAGAGTGTGCCCTTCCACAGGGGAGACTGAAGTCTGTTCCAGGTCCCAGTATGTAATAACCATGAAATCCAGCCACAAGGCAATTGGTCTCAAGCCACCAAAATGAAATTTTCCTTAAGCCATGCATACCTTTCACCCAGCGATGACTTGAACTCTGCCTTGACTTTGAAAAGGAAACCAGATAGCCAGTAAACAGGACTCCAGAATCAGAGCAACATGAGCAGAGATGGCCAGACTGGAGGGAGGAAGGACCCTGGGTAAGGATGGCCAAGGCCCCAGGGCTGCTCATGGTCACACTGATGGTGGGCTTTTTTTTTTTTTTTTTTGAGTCAGAGTCTCACTGTCACCCAGGCTGGAGTGCAGTGGCATGCTCATGGTCACTGCAGCTTCAACCTGCTGGACTCAGGCGATCCTTTCACCTCAGTCTTCCAATAGCTGGAATCAGGTGTGTGCCATCATGCCTGGCTAATTTTTTGACTTTTATTGTAGAGATGAGGTCTCACCAAGCTGCCCTGGTGTCGAGCCCATGGGCTCATTCAATCCTCTTGCCTCTGCCTCCCAAAGTGCTTGGATTATAGGCATGAGCCACCACACCTAGCCAGGCAGAGCATCTTTTTTTTTTTTTTTTTTGAGTAGGAATGTCACTCTGGTGCCCAGGCTGGAGTGTAGTGGCATGCTCATGGCTACCGCAGCCTCAACCTGTTGGGCTCAGGTGATCCTTCCGCCTCAGCCTTCCAAGTAGCTAGAACCACAGGCACACCTCACCACGCCCACCTAATTTTTTGATTTATTGTAGAGATGAGGTCTTGTCAAGTTGGTCAGGCTGGTCTTGAACCCCTGGACTCAAGCAATCCTCTCGCCTCTGCCTCCCAAAGTGCTGGGATTACATGCATGAGTTACTGTACCTGGCTAGGCAGAGCTTATTTTTTTTTTTGAGTTGAAGTCTCACTCTGTCGCCCAGACTGGAGTGCAGTGGCCGCTCCCGGCCACCGCACCGCAGCCTCGTCTGCTGGGTGCCGGCAATCCTTCCACCTCAGCATTCCAAGTAGCTGGAACTACAGGCGTGCACTACCACGCCCGGCTAATTTTAGATTTATTGTAGAGATGAGGTTTCGCCAAGTTGCCCAGGTGGGTCTTAAACCCGCGGGCTCAGGCAATCCACTCACCTCAGCCTCCCAAAGCACGAGATTACAGGTTGAGTCACCCAGCCCGGTTTGTTTGCTTATTTTTAAGACAGGGTCTTGCTATGTTGCCCAGGCTGGACTCAAGCTCCTGGACTCAAGCAGTCCTCCCACCTCAGCCTCCCAAAGTGCTGGGATTACAGGCGGGAGCCACCGTGGCATGGTGGTGCATGCCTGTGGTTCCAACTACTTGGAAGGCTAAGGCAGAAGGATCTCTTGAGCCCCGCAGGTCAAGGCTACGGTGCTTGTGAGCACTGTGCCACTGCACTACAGCCTGGGCAACAGAGTGAGACTTCGACTAAAAAAAAAAAAAAAAAAAAAAAAAA